AAGACAGGGATGCCCTCTTTCACCACTTCTATTTACTATAGTTCTTGAAACTCTAGCCAGAGCAATGACAGACAAAAGAAATTAAAGGGATACGGATAAGAAAAGAATTCAAATTATCACTATTTGCAGATGATATGATTGTATACCTAGAAGACTCAAAACATTCCACCAGAAATCTCCTAAAACTAATAAATGAATTCAGCAAAGTAGAAGATAGAAAATCAACACCCATAAATCAAAGGCACTCCTGTATATCAGTGACAAATACGCTGAAAGGGAAATGAGGAAAACTATGCTATTTATAATAGCCTCAAAAAAAAAAAAAAAGAAAAAGAAAAACTTGAGAATCAACTTAATGAAAGAGGTGAAAGATCTAGACAATGAAAACTACAGAACCCAAAAGAAAGAAATCAAAGAAGACCTTAGAAGATGGGAAGATCTACCTTGCTCTTAGATAGGCTGAATTAATATTATCAAAATGACCATACTACCAAAAGCACTATACAGATTTAATGCAATTCCAATCAAAATCCCAATGGCATTCCTCATAGAAATAGAAAAAGCAGTCATGAAATTCATCTGGAAAAACTAGAGACCCAGAATAGCTAAAGCAATCCTTAGCAGGAAGAGTGAAGCAGGTGGTATCACTATACCAGACCTTAAACTATAGTACAGAGCAATAGTAACAAAAACAGCATGGTACTGGCACTGAAACAGACTGGTAGACCAATGGTACAGAATAGAGGACACAGAGACTAACTCACAAAATTACAATTATCTTGTATAAGACAAAGGTGCCAAAAACATATATTGGAAAAAAGATAGCCTCTTCAACAAATCGTGCTCGGAAAACTAGAAATCCATATGCAACAAAATGAAATAAAACCTCTATCTCTCATCATGCACAAAATTCAACTCAAAGTGGATCAAGGACCCAGGAATAAAACCAGAGATCCTGCATCTAATAGAAGAAAAAGTAGGTCCTAATCTCCATCATGTCAGATTAGGCCCCAGTTTCCTTAATAAGACTCCTACAGCGTAAGAATTAAAATCAAGAATCAATAAATAGGGGCTGGGATTGTGGATCAGTGGTAGAGCACTCATCTAGCATAGGCAGGACTCGGGTTCGATCCTCAGCACTACATAAAAATAAAGGCATTGTGTTGTGTCCATCTACACCTAAAAAATAAATATTAAAAAAAAAGAATCAATAAATGGGATGGACTCAAACTAAATAGTTTCTTCTCAGCAAAAGAAACAATCTGTGAGGTGAATAGAGAGTCTACATCTGGGGAGCAAATTTTCACTCCTCACACATCAGACAGAGCACTAATTTCTAGGGAATATAAAGAATTCAAAAAGCTAAACATCCAAAAAACAAATAACCCAATCAATAAATGGGCAAAGGAACTGAACAGATTGTATCCTTTTCTCAGAAAAGGATATACAAAAAGGATATACAATCAATCAATAAACATATGAAAAAATGTTCAACATCTCTAGCAATTAGAGAAATGCAAATCAAAACTTCTCTAAGAGTTCATCTCATCCCAGTCAGAATGGCAGCTATTATGAATACAAACAATAATAAGTGTTGACGAGGATGTGGGGGAAAGGCATACTCATACATTACTGGTGGGACTGCAAATTGGTGCATCCAATATGGAAAGCAGTATGGAGATTCCTTGGAAAACTGGGAATGGAACCATCATTTGACCCACCTATCCCATTCCTTGGTTTATACCCAAAGGACTTAAAAACAGCATACCACAGGGACACAGCCATATGAATGTTTATAGCAGCACAATTCACAATAGTTGAATTGTGGAACCAACTTAGATGCCCTTCAGTAGATGAATGGATAGGGAAACTTTGCTATATATACACAATGGAACATTACTCAGCATTAAAAGAGAATAAAACCATGGCATTTGCAGGTAAATGGATGGAGCTGGGAGAATATAATGCTACTTGAAGTAAGCCAATCCCAAAAAACCAAAGGCCAAATGTTTTCTTTGATATGAGGATGCTGACTCTTAATGGTGAAGGAGGTGGCATGGGAGAAATGGAGGAACTTTAGATAGGGCAAAGGGGAGAGAGGGGAAGAGAGGGGGCAGGGGGTAGGAATGATGGTAGAATGAGTTAGACAACATTACCCTAAACAGTATGGAGATTCCTTGGAAAACTGGAAATGGAACTACCATTTATGTATGAAGACACAAATGGTGTGAAAGTACTTTATGTACAATCAGTAACTTGAAAAATTGTGCTGTATATGTGTAATATGAAATGTATTGCATTCTGCCGTTGTGTATAACAAATTAGAATATATAATTTAATTTAAAAAAAAGAAAAAAGAAAAGAGATAGTTTTGTATTTAAATGGCTGAAGAATAATGTTTCATGACATCTATTAAGTCAAATTCAGATTTCAGAGTCCAATAAATATTTTTATTGGAACACAGTCACTCCCATTCATTTGCATATGGACTATTGGTACTTCTGTGCTACACTGGCAGAGGTAAATGGCTGAGGCAGAGACACATGGCCCACAAAGTTGAAAATATTTACTAACATTCCTTTACTGAAAGTTTGCAGGTTCTTAGTTTAGCTTCTTGGCCCTATTTCAGTTAACATCTTCTCTAAGTCTCAAGGGCAAAGGGCTTTCTTTCCTTCTTATTTTGTGGTGCTGGGTAGTGAACCCAGGGTAGGCTTTACCCATGCAGCTAGGTAAGTGCTAGTTACACAACTGAGTTACACCCCCAACCAAAGGCTTTCTTCAGACCTTAGCTGGCATCTGGTGTGTGTGAGACTTTCTAGGACACTACCAGGAGCTGCTTTCTTTTCTTGTCTTCTGTGACATCACTCTTCTATTTTCCCTCTTTTACTTGCTTATTCCTTCTCATACCTTTTCCACTGATCTTAGTAGTTGATGCTTTCCAGGAATTTGGTTCTTGCTCTTTTCCCCTTAAACTATGTATATTTCCTGCGACCAGAGCTTCTTAAAGCATGGTCAAGAACCACCTGGATTCAATCATTTGGGTAATATTAATATTTACTAACCATTCTGCAATTTCCTGGGCCTGAATCCAGACCAACCTATTGAATCAGAATCTCATGTGGGTGGACCCAGGAAGTGGAATTTCTGAACAGTGTTTATTTTTGTACACAAAATATCAAATTTGTGAACCATTGTAACATTAATGATATGCTTATAACTAAAAATTCAATTTCCAACTCTGCCTCCTGTCTTGAACTCCAGATTCCTCAGGAATTGTCTCTAAGCACCTCTATTTATATCTCAAAGGCACAGACTCAACATGCAAATAATATGTTCTTCTCAAATCTACTCTTTCTTCTTATTCTCTATTTCAGTTAATAGACTACCTTCCACCCTGGAACCCAAAGCTGGAAACCTGGGATCATTCTCATATGCAAACACTATTGATGCTACCTCCTAATTATCTTTTACTCCTAGCCACTGCCCTGCTCTGGCTTTCATCTTCCCATTTCCAGGACTACTATAGTGACTTCTAACTGCAGGGTGCCCCTGCCTTTTAATTGGGGGACAGGGATTGAACCTAGGCCCTTGCATATGCTAGACAAGTGCTTTACCATAAAGCTACATCCCAAGTCCTTTTACACAATTTTATTTTGAGTCAGGGTCTCAGAAGGTTGTGCAGGCTGGCCTCAAACCTTCAATCGTCCTACCTTGGCCTTCTGAGTCATTGAGATTATAGGTCTATGTATCATAGCTGGTTCTAAATGCAAATTTCTTATCTCTCACTTGGATTATGGCTATTTTGCACAACTCCAGGGGCACCAGCACCTGAATATGAAGTCTCCTAACCAGTATCCTCACTGTTTTTACTGTAGCTAGAAGAATCTGATCTCATTACTCCTCTTTGGTGGCTTCCCAGTATCTATAAAATAAAATCTTGGTATTTCACATTTTGACTCATCAAAAGCTGTGCTGTAGCTCCTGCCAGCCTCTGATCTATCATCTGCCTCAACTCCCAATCTGTACTCCAGTTCCTTTCCTTCCCATAGGTGTCTAGTTTCCCTAGAGGCCCTTTCCTCCTTCTTCAGCTCTACAAATTTCTCCTTTTCTTCAAAACTCAGCTAGGATGTCTCTCCCCTGTGAAGATTTTCTGGAATCCTCTATGAAGAGCAGATTTGATCATCATCTCCTTTAGACTAATACTTATCTTGTGTAGCCTGTTTATCAGTCCACTTCCCACTAGACTTTAAGCAACTCTGGCTAATTCTTTTATCCAGAATAGATGGGAGGTGTCCCTGAAACTGAAATGGGCCCAAATGAGTGAAGGATAACTCTCTAGTTGGAACCTCAGGATCTAACAGCACAAAGGCCTCATCAAAAGGAGCAGCAAAATCAAAAGAAGGGACAATTTAAGGAGAAGGGGTAAATAATGATTTCTTTAAAAAGAAAAGAAAAGAAAAAAAAAGCAGAACTTGAGACTAAGGCAGATACCCAGGTGGAAAGGTTCAACTAAGAATTGGAAAGAAAAAAAAATTCAAATTTCAGGGAGAGATAAGGAGGGACTAGATTTACAGATTTAGGGAGGATGAAACTAATATCACTGAAGAAATACTCAAGAGAGATTAAGAACCCAAGAGAAGAAGACAAAGAACAACATCTCAGAAACTGCAAGGCAGAGGAGGAAAAGACAAGATGACAAGAAAAAGAATGACTGGGGATTACTTGGGCCAAAAATTGTACACCAAGAAAAAAACAGGGAGTAACTTTTAACTCGAAGCAGTTAGAATTTTTATTTACTTAAATCACCTTAAATTTGGTTTCCTCTAAGCTGTGAAAGTTGAATTCAAACATCAAACTCTCCTGGGGTTCTCCATGTACACATCCAGCCTCAGAGACCACAGCACACCAATGAGGGAGCTCAGGCAGCTCCCTGACTACAGTCGGAGACATTCAGAATGGTAGAGAAGAAAAAGTAAGGTAAAATCTGATCTGGGTTATACCTGAAATAGGACCCAGTTGTGCCATTTTCCCTAGCCATGGGAGAGGTTCTGGACCAGGCTCAAAGAGAGACATCATGAGGTTTGATTTCTTCTTGCTGTCAGCTTGGGAGTAGAGCATTCCATGCCATTCAGGACTAGATGGAGAGAAGACGAAAGATCAGAAGAACATAAAGCCTGGGACTGTCAAGTTAAATAAATCTAGCTTATGTTTTTCTCTTGAGAGAAACAGGCTTTGGCTGTGAAATCAGGCATGTTACTTTTACCAAAGCCAAATCCGAAACCTGAAAATGATTACTACTGTTATGATATTTACATTTCTCTGAGACATTTATTATCATTAAGGAAAACTTTATATATATACATGGAAATCAAAAGCAGTTTAAAAGATTTAAAAAAAAAACATATACAAAGGGTAGAAAGTAAGATATAGGGGGATAAGGAGGATAAGGAGGTCCTTTCAGCTGCCTCTCAGAGTTACAGCAGAACCAATACAGGGAGGCCCTTGTAACGCAGGGCATGAGGTCTTCGTTCTGTTACTTAAACACTGTCCCCAGCTTTTCAAAGCAACCTAGGCGATTCTCACATTCAGAGCCAATACCACTAGTTTGAATGCCAAGAAACACAGCAGATTAACAACTATTAAGAAGAATCCCATTCTTCTTTTCTGACATAAAGAGAAATGAAGACATGCTTCCTATGATTAATATTAACCTCTGGAATATATATCAGTCATCATCCCAAATGATGGTCAGAAGGTGATTAACTCCCTCCTCTTTTCTAAGATAGATATTAGAGAAAGGGAGGCAGACAGCTTTGCAAATTCCAAGATTACAGAGAAGGTAAAAACTAGAAACACTTTCCTCACAGGAAAGGAATACAACAGAGTTGTGAGCATAGGTTCTGAAGTAAGAATGCATAGGTAAGAATCTTGGCTCTTTTATTTATTAGCTGGGGCAAGTTCCTTGACCTCTTGAGTCTGAAAGGCTGACCTCTCTGACTCTTCATCTATAAAATGGGATTAGTGTTGATATTATCTACACAATCTGTTGTGAGGAATTAAATGAGTTAACATACGTAAATGCCTAGAGGAATGTCTGACACATGGCAAAATGTTCAATGTCATCAGCATCTTTTTTCATTTAGTTTTATCCCTTTAATTTATAGATGTAGAGACCATGAATCCTACTAAGATATTATAATAAATTAGTAGCATTACTATAACCAGAACCCAGGTATCCTAGATAGGATTTAAAAAGAAGAAAAATGGGCTAGGATATAGCTCAGTGGTTGAGTGTTTACCTCATATGTGCAAGGACATGTGTTCAAACACTAGTACTGCACCCCCCTAACAATTAAGTAAATAAAAATAGAAAAACTGAGAAAGAATATAATATATATAAGCAACATACCAAAAAGGATCATTCCACACTTATTCTCTTCCTACCAGGTCCCCTACCCCCACTCCCCATTTTTTACCATTGAGTCACATGCCCCACCCTTTTTTATTTTGAGACAGAGTTTTGCTAAGGTGCTGAGACTGGCCTTAAACTTGTGATCCTCCTGTCTTAGTCTCCCGAGTTCGTGAGATCAAAGGCATGGACCACCAAAACCAGCTCCACACTTACTCTAGGGGATAATTTTAAGAGTAGTTTAAAAGGGAATTGACAGGTGAGAAGGGAGAGGAAAAAGGTGACCAGGACCTTTCTACTTCTTTCAGAAAAGTCTTCAAAACACTTCACCTAATGAACTGTTGCTCCTCTCATTCAACTAAATGTAAACAAAGTCTCCTACCCTAATTGAACAATTGCCACCATTCCTTCCACTTTTAGGCTGCCATGGAGCAGGACACAGAAGTTGGGTATTTTGCCTGCAATCTGATTGGCTGAATTTTCATCTTCATTGTCATCAGTGATGCCAGTACCCACCTCATCGCCTTCTGCAAAAAGCAAACAGGTTAGATTGAGATCAGCTACAAAAACTCCATACTCTTGGCAACTTCCAGACTCAAAGGAGTTGTAAAGGAATATTATACAAAGCTGAAAAAACTCATCCCAGTTTCCCAATGTCTATATAAAAATTACTTTTTAAGGGCTGAGGTTGTGACTCAGTGGTAAAGGCACTGGGTTTGATCCTCAGCACCACAAAAAAATAAAACAAACAAATAAAGAAAATATTGTGCATTGTGTCCCCCCAAATTACTTTTCAAATATTATATTAATTCCATTTATATGAAAAATCCAGAAGAGCACGTCTATAGGAGTAGAAAGGTTATTAGTGATTATCTAGAGCCAGGGGACTAAGAGTTGGTAGTTTGGTTTCTACCAACTAAGAGTTGGTAGAAACAGGGTTTCTTTTTAGGGATGATGAAAAGGTTCTAAAATTGATTATGATAATGGTTGTACAAGTCTATAAATAAACTAAAATCACTTAGTTATACACTTTAAGTGAGGGAAGTATATAATATTGATTTTATCTCCATAAATATGTTACACACAAAAAATGTGTTTTCCAGAGTTCCAGTAGAAACTGGAAGTTTCAGGCATCTGTCTAAACAGAATCTGATACAGAGATGTCAAGAGTGTTCTAAACTGAAAACATTCAAACAGTTCAAGGATGCAAGTCTCCAAAGGTACACAAATGATTACTCTACAAGCATCCTAACTAGACTTCCCAACTCTAGGTTCTCTGTTGACAGATGAATCTTCTACAATTAATATCCTTCCAAGAAAACTTATCCATTCAGTCTTATTCAAAGACTTTCTACTTCAACAGGAAAAATTTTCCAGTTTAGTTTGCTATTCAACAACCCTTACAATGGCTCTGTTCTGCCTTCCCGTGTTTTCCCTTCCTACTGTCCCCTAAACACTTCATTTTGCTAATTTTCTTTCTTGGCAGAATTCTCCCAGGGCCTTAGAAATAAGGTAAATTTGGTTGTTCTCTAAAAACACAAGGTAAATTATAAATACAATGCCCACAATGAGTCCTCAGTCTATAAATATGTGATTCTGTCTATAAATATGTGTTGAGTGGTTATGGAATATTCAACCTCCAACTGAGATAACCCAGGCATTAATAGAACATGATCATAACCCAGTAGGTAGAAAGCTGATTGACTCTATATTTCCTGGAAAGAGCTAATAAATATAAGCTAGATAGTTAGCTTAGAACAGAGAAAAAGAATTTTAAGGAGCTAAAGGCTAGCATACTACAGAGATGCTGAATTTGGGGACATGACTTTTCAGTTTCTAAGGGGTATTTTCTGCAATAATGAGGTCTCACAAGAGGCTCATTTGTTTATTTAATAGTATTTGAGCATCTAGTATGTGCTTGGCATGAGTAAACAAAGAACAGATGTGTTCTTCCTCTTATTAAGCTGTATTTGACTTCCACATTTATCAAGCAACTTTCTGATAATGACTTGGCTTTCTCAGCATGCCCCTATTAGGAAAGGCAAAGCCCTGGGTGAGGAACTAAGTACTCCTTTTTTTTTTTTTTTTTGTACTGGGAATTGAACTCAGGGGTGCTTCACCACTAGGCTACATCCCCAGCCCCTTTTTATTTTTTATTTTGAGAGTGTTTCCCTAAGTTGCTTAGGTTCTCTCTAAGTTGCTGAGACTGGTCTCAAACTTGCATTCCTCCTGCCTCAGCCTCCTAAGTTGCTGGGATTACAGGCATGCACTGCTGCACCTGGCTAAGTATTCTTGTCTTTAAAAGAGGACTTCCACTATAAATTCACAAACCAACACACAGCAAATATGTGTCAAAAGTGTTCCCATGGGCTGGAGTTATGGCTCAATGGTAAAGCGTTCACCTAGCATGCATTAGGCACTGGGTTTGCTCCTCAGCACCACATAAAAATGAAATAAAGGTATATGTCCACAACTAAAAAAAAATATATACACACACACATATATATATGTATGTATATATATTTTTTAAAGTGTTCCCATAATATAAGATAGCAGAATTTCTTTCCTAATATTTAATATTCTATTTTCTAAAATTCAATTTGGCAACTATACCTTTCCTTTAGCTTCTGCAAAATGGGCTAATCTACTATTTAACATTAAAAAATAACTTTAGATATTATGATGCTTCTTATATATTAATAGTATAAAAAGAAAACTCACCTTTGTTAAGTGCTATAGGTAGGACCAGATGTCTGGAGAGAACTGGGGGACTTGAAATATCAGCTATATCTATAAATCCCACTATTTCCAAATCTGAAAGGAAGGAATATACATAGTGCTAATTTATAATAAGGGAAAGTATATTATTTTCTATGTATTAGATTTTATAAACACAATGTTTAGGTGGAAATTTTAAATATGTTGACTGGGAACATTATTGGACTTTTCTGTGGATGACTCTAATCATTTGCATTATAAGTAGCTCAGGAAATAATAATAATTATCTTTTATTTGATGAATTTAAGTTATATAACAAATTAGGTAAACTTTATTTTTATGAGGCTAGGTCCTCCCAGTCATGGCAAAAGCTTAAAAGTCAAATCCCTGTGTAGAGTCAGGGGTATTCGGGTCACCAAGGGGCATTAAACTCAAACACTTCTCCAACAACTTCAACCTTTTTTGAAATTAAAGACATTCTATTAAAAACATTTCCCCGAGAAAATGTTTTTAACCTTTTCAACAAAGCCAATTTGACATGATTTCTTTGCTCTATAGAGATTGTTTAATGACCAAAAGTTTTTGTGAAAACCTAAAATAAAAAAATAAAAGTTGCAACCAAAATTTTTTTAAAGGGGCTGGGGTTGTGGCTCAGTGGTAGAATACTTGCCTAGTATGTGTGAGGCACTGAGTTCAATTCTCAGCACTGCATATAGACAAAGGTCCGTTAATAACTAATAAAAATATTTTTTTACAATGTTTATTTATTTATTTATCTTTATGTAGATGGACACAACACAATGCCTTTATTTTTATGTGGTGCTGAGGAGCGAACCTGCGTCCGTCTGGCCTAGCTAGCTAGGAGTGCTCTACCGCTGAGCCACAATCCCAGCCCCAATAAAAATATTTAAAAAAAAATTTTTTAAAAAAGTTTCTTTTCTGATTATATAGATAATTAACACAAAAACTTGGAAAACACTAACAATTGTAAAAAATATAGAATCACCCATTATTCATCATAAAAGGAAACCACTATCAATACTTTACTGAATTGCTTTTCAGTTTTTCTTCTAAGCACAAACACACCATATTCTCAAAACAATTTAAAAAAAAAACAGAATCGTAGTGAGTAAAATGCACTTCATATACAAGTAGGAAATGTGCTTCTCTGGAGATTTGCTGTCATTAACCCCCTTAATTGAGTAACAAATGAATCAGGACAAGCAGCTGATACTTTTTGAGTAGAAAAAAGCCTACTATATTTTAAAATATATATAAGCTATAGCAAATGTCTTAGGCTAAAAATTTATATTGGAAAGAAAAGGCCTATTCAAATGACTCATCAAAAAAGGGTGGAAAGGAAGTGAAATTTAACTGGTTTGAGAGCAACAAAATAATTTGGTGCAGCTTAATATAGTAGAGCGTAGTCACAACAAAAAGAGATGGATACCTTGCTTCCAGATAGACAAAAGTTAAAAGCACAAAAAGCAAAAAGCATGCTCTAGCCCTTCATTTATAATCTCTATGCACCCCAAATGAACATTTATTGCACACTTAATTTTAATCATTTATTAAAGCATCTGCTAAGTGTCAATGTTACCCTAGGCACTAAGGCTGCAGCAGTGATTGAAAGTGACAGCATCTATCCCTAAGAGGTTAAACATGTATCCACCACTCAAGGAATCCACCCATCAATTGGAGATAACTCCAAGGTCTTCAAGTCACATCTAGAAGACAGCCCTTCATATATGACTGTAGTTATGATGCTAGTCAATCTCAGAATCTCTATAAAGAATCACTTCAAGGATTTCAATCCTAGTGAATCTGGGCATGATTTCTAACTCTAGTAATTTGTGGTTAAAATGACCTAGGATTGGAGATTAACTCATGCCCTCACCATAAAAGACCAATAATCCACCAACCCTGAGGTAATTAATATATTCACTGATCCAAAATGCTAATGACAATACCACCCTTGTTTCAAAATATATGATTCTTTTCAATCCTCCTAGATAGAGAACAAAGTAAAAAAAACACAAGTCAGAAGTAGGGAAAACTTACCTGTGTTAATGACTTTGGGGATAGGATCAATTTCTTCATCTACAACAAAAGGTTCTGGCCTGGGGAAGACTTGTACATCAGCAGTTAGGTGGCCACATTTGAGAACAGCATGGAAAGGTGTATAAGCCAGATCTATCAGTTTTCTAGGATATGATGATTAATTGTTACAAGGAGAGTAATAAGATAGACAGAGCAGTAATGTTTCATGATGCAAAATTTATTTTACCTTTACATTAATTCCAAAACTAAATCTGACCATTTGTGGAAAAGATTGCAATCTGATATTGCTGCTGAGGAAATTTCAATTCTGAAAAGCCCCAAGGCAAGTTAATCTTTGAAATTGCTAAATCATTGTAAAAAAGGCAATATCTATAAGCATTACAGATTTAGTCATGTTTAATTTAAAAGACTGAGCTTTCAAAAATCACTGCTACCAATCTTTTTATCTGAGAAATGGGCAACTTGGAGAAAACACAACCACACAATTAGAGTAATGTATATATTCTTTCTGGATATCAAATTATAATACTGGATTACAAAGAAGGCAAAAAAGCTTTAAGCACATACTCACCCAAACATAGACTGTACATTTTTCAGGCACAGGGGGCCATCAATAGTAAATATTTGCCCTTCACCATTGTTTAAGTCTATGAGACGTTCAAGGCATTCCAAAGAATCGGTGCTCTGAAGCTACAAAGCAAAAGAGATGACCCCTTTAAAATGGCACAAATTACCAGATTACTATTAGCACACCTAAGTTACAACCATCATAGTAACACAGGCAAAAAATAAATCATTTTCTTAACAGCCATATGAAAAGAAATAACCATAACAATTTGACTCAAGGTGACCAAAGAGGAATGTTACATAAAATGACACCAGGAGAGCTATTCCATTCAGAAGTAGTTTTGTAAAGGTTCTCAGAGGAGACCACAATTTGTAGCATCTTTCCTTCCAGGTGTTTTAAACATTTTTTGGCAAGAACCATCATTATCTACATTATACAGGGGAAAAAATAAGGTAAAAAAAAGATCAAATATCTCCCAAATAAATAGGAAAACAGGAAGCAAAGTATTTACATACAAAAAATATACCAAACGGCATGTTATTCTACCAAAAAAAAAAAAAGCAAAGTACATCTCTGTCAACATTTCTGGAATGGATAAAATAATTCCTGGGTAAGAGAAATAACTAATACCAAAGAGAACTTGACCTTTCGTGACTCACCAGCAGGATGGATAACAACTTGAAGTATGTTCCCAAGATGGGGAAACACTGAAATTTCAGAGCATTTAAGAGCTAGAATATAGTCTTATTTTGTCTTTTTCTTTTCTCTCTCCCTCTCCTTCCTTCATTTTTTCTCGTCCTCCTCCCTTCCCTTTCTTCTTTTCTCTTCTCTTTGTGGTGCTAGATATAGAGCCAGGGCCTCAGGCAAACTAGGCAAATGCTCCACCACTGAGCTACAGGCCCAGACTGAGTCTTTTCAAATACATATTGTGCCAGTCTCATGAAACCAACAGAGCACAATGTTACAGTATATGCAATAGAGTACTAATCAAATATATGAAAAGAATAAATTGAGCCCTAAAATTTACCCAATCAAACTAAAAAGAACTTAGCAAAATGTATTACCTCTTCCAAATTTGCCATGCACATGATATATAACTTAGACGGGAAAGGAAAAGGTAGTGGAAACCTGTTGCTCTCACTTCTTTGATTGTGAGTAGCTAAGGAATGTCGCAGTGACCCTCTACCAATGCCAAGACAGCCATCAGTTACTAGAACAACCTGTTTGCAAAAAGAGACAGGAAATTTGCACATTAAATTACATGATTAAATTAGTTTCATTTAACACTTTCATTTCTGGAAAGGGACATGAAAAACTAAGGATTGATAAGAATGTTTTATATCTTAATGATAGTAGTGGTTACATAGGTATATGCATTTGTTAATACTCAGGGAACTGTGCATTTAAAAGCTATACATTTTACTTTTTCATTTAATTAAATTTTTAAAATGCTTGCCTCTGAACAATTAAAAAAAGGACAAACATGCATACCAAATTTTACTTAATTGTATTACAACTGGAACCCCATCTATTAGATAAGGAATTGGTACTTAAAATATCAAAGTTAAAAAAAAAATGGCATGACCCATTTCATATGTGTCCCTAGGAAATACCAGCCCAAAAGTCTGAACTTTGCCTTTTTTAAAATCTATTGATTGATTGATTGATTGATTGCTGTACTAGGGATTGAACTTAGGACCTTGTACATGCTAAGTAAGTGCTATGAACACTAAGCTACTACTCCTAGCCCACTTTATTTTTAAAAGATGATAAATTCTATCCCCAGGCCACTAAAATGACAACTGCTTCAAAATTGTGGTTATACAGGCCACTTGGCCAGAAATGTATAAGACCTTTAAAAAATGCACATTTAACTTGTAATATGATAAAGCCAATAAAATATATGAACAACAGATGGTAAATGCAAAATCTTTTTCCTTTTCCTCATTGCTTAAGGGCAATCATGTGTAAAGTGGGCTTCCCAGGCATCCCAGGAAAGGATTATTTTTGTTCTCCTAGTCTAATCCAGTAACTTGACAACAGGCCATTGAAGCAGTATTAGGTGGTTAAATCATGTGAAATACAAAGATTTAGTACTTACTTCTAAAGTCTAAGGATATTTAATGGAGGTTCCCTGGAGAGATTTTTATCTTTTAGGAAGTCTGTCAACTGACTACAGATAATTTCCTTTTCTAGGTACCAACAACTGGTACACAATGATTTAGTTCTGACATTAGCTTTTTCAGATGCTGTGTGATAAGGAAATATTTCATGTAATGTCAAAATCACTCAGGTAATGAGGATACAGACCAGATGTCTGAAATCTTGGTTGTGAAAAGTTCCACATTTAAACAAATTTGATGGTAAATGGTTATAAAAATAATCACTAGGGGCTGGGGCTAGAGCTCAGCAGCAGAGTGCTCGCCTATATGTGAGGCACTGGGTTCAATCCTTAGCACCACATAAAATAAACAAATACAATAAAGGCATGCTGTGCATCTACAACTACAAAACAACAACAACAACAAAAATAACTAATAACTACCACCTCTATTACTATGTTTGGATCTCATTCATTTAATAAGTCTAAGTGGATTTAGGTCAGTCCCTCACCTTCAGGGTACAGTAAATCTCAAAATTATATTCTTCTTTTTTTCAAAGAAAGAAAAATATTAAAAGGCAGAAGTCTACATGGTACGCAAGGTCTAGCTATTAAATTTTTTTTTTTCAGTTGTCGATAGACACGATCTTTATTTATTTATTTATTTATTTTTATGTGGTGCTGAGGATGGGAACCCAGTGCCTCACACATACTAGGTAAGTGATCTACCACTAAGCTACAACCCCAGCCCCCACCACTTTTTTAACTTATCAAAGGAATTTGACAAAAGGTATTAACAGGCTTCTTTAACAAAAGTGATTTGATTTAACCTTTTAATTATAGTTCAGGGTCTTCATGAACCAAAGAGTTTATATTCTATCAAATAGAGTGGCTTTCAGGGTAAGAAAAAAAGCTTTTGAAAAGAGTTGGGATTTACTGAGAGATAATTTACATGTAGTAAATCTTTACTACACAGTTCTTAGTGTTGACAACTGCATTCAGATATGTCACCATCTTTACTATTTAGATAAAGAATGGTGCTATTACTTCCTATATTCCCTCCTATTTCTTTGGGATTAATCCTTACTCTTCTCTCACTCCCAGACAACTAAAATCTTACTTTTAATTAAAAAAAAAAAACAAAAAAAAAAACTTGGCTGGGGCTGTAGCTCAGTGGCAGAGTGCTTGCCTAGCATGTGTGAGGCACTGGGTTGGATCCTTACTACCACATAAAAATAAACAAATAAAGTAAAGGCATTCTGTCCATTTATGACTACATTTTTTTTTAAATACCAGTAATGCCACTTACACTACTCAGGAATCGTGTGTTTGACACTATAATAAAAAGCCATACGCCAGGGGCCAGCAAAAATATGGCCACAGTCATAGTTTATTTGCAAAGCTGGCTTTGTAAATAAAATTTTATTTAAAAAGAGCTGTGCCCACTCACTTACTTATTACCTATGACTTCCATGCAATAACATTAGAACTGAATAATTGCCGCAACCTAAAATACAGAAAAAGTTTGCTACCTTCTGTTGTAGACTATTAATGATTTTTCTTTCAGTAATGTTTGCTTTCTTCCTGTTTACAGCAAATTTCCAATTCTTTTTTATACTATTACTCTGCTGTAATTTGAGGCTAATGTGAATCCACTGGGGACTCCAAGAACAACAGACTATGACATTCATACTCCTCACTTTTTAGACAACTAGAGAGCTGAGACGGTTAAAAGTCTGCTGAAAAAAAATCCTACAGCAAGATAATGAAGACAGACTATATGGTACTAATGTTTACAATTCTATCATTCAAAATTATAATCATCCCTTCCAGGGAGTGTAGTTCAAAAATTCCACTGTGAGCCCTTTGTCTTTTATACAACAGTACTAGTTTTCAATAAGTCAATTTACTAGGAGGATTCTTTCCTTTAGGTATAATTTTGCTACTTTCTGAGCACATTGGTGTGATTTAGATTAGATTAGTGTGATATGATTAGAGTGATTTAGTGCCTTCTTTTTAAAAGATACCAATTGTATAAAACATAGTTTGAGGAAATTAGAAATGCATGCTGTGTTAAAGCCTAGAGAAAATCAAAGCACCACAGTGGTTAATGTTTTTAACTTAGGGCAATGAAAAAGAATTGATCATTACCTGGCAAGGAATTGCACCACCCCATTCCTGCTGAACGATATTGCAAACACCAACTAATGCGGATTCCAAGCAGGTTTTGTCATAATCGTCCATGTTACTTAGTGCTTCCTTATTGAATCAAAAATAAAATTGCTCATTATTCTTTACTTCTTTAATTTGTTATTAGAAAACACCATAAACTGCTCAACATATGAATGTTACACAAGGGACATTGTGTTTCTGAGAGCCCCAAAGCATAGGTTCTTAAAAAGCAACAAAACCAGTAAAACAGATTTTCTCAACTATAGAGGATAATTAAATATGTCCTTTTATTCCATCCTCTTATTAGGTAAGAATTGACAGTTCCCTAAGTTTATTTCTTTATAAGTGGATCTTGAAGGAAAACTTTAAAATCAAGAATTTAAAAAACATCAAAAAATGACAAAATTTATTGAATATTAACTATATCCTAAACACCATTGTAGGTACTATTTTACATGCATTTAATCATTACAGCATTTTAAACCCTATTTTGTGTGTGTGTGGCACTGCACATGCTAGGCATGCACTCTACCACTGACCTATATCCTCAGACCTTTTTATCTTGAAACATGGTCTTGTTCAGTTCCTGAGATTGGCCTTGAACTTGCAGTCCTCTTGCCTCAGCCTATAGAGCAGCTGTGATTACAGGCATGCTCCACCATACTCAGCTTAACCCCACCTTTAATTGAGGAATCTAAGGTACAGAAAGATTAAATAACTTTCCCAGGTATTGTGAACATAGGTGGCTGAGCCTAGATATGAACCCAAGCAGTCTGACTACAGAGCTCCTGGTTTTAACCATTACTCCTCATTCCTAGCAACTCTCTAAATTTCCTAACCACTCAGGATCAGAAATCCTGAGCATAATCATTTGTAAGAAGGTTAGAGTGATCAGGAGTGGTGGTAGAGTATGACTATAATTCTTGATAGTTGGGAGGCTAAGCCAGGAGGATCATGAATTCAAGGTAAGGCTACATAATATAATCAGATTCTGTCAAGAGGAAAAACAAAAACCAAACAAACAAACAAAAAACAAACAAGGATTGAATTCAGGAGCACTTGACCACTGAGCCACATCCACAGCCCTATTTTGTATTTTATTTAGAAACAGTGCCTCTTTTTGCTGAGGCTGGCTGTGAACTTGCGATCCTCCTGCCTCAGCCTCCAGAGCCGGTGGGATTACAGTATTCCCAATCATATGCCACTGTGCCTGGCTCAGAATTTTTTTTTTTAAAAAAGCTTTTCTGTCTCTTAAAAAGTCAGATAATAAAAGAAAGGACTTGACAAACATTTATTACTTATATTTTTAAAAATATAAATTACATTGATCCTGGATTTCTCTCTCTCTTTTTTTTTGTGGTGCTGGGGATTGAGCCCATGGCCTTGTGCATATGTGGCAAACACTTTACCAACTGAGCTATATCCCCAGCCCTTGGTCCTGGATTTCTAAATTGCTTAATGATTATTAAATTGTTCAGTTTAATTTCACAAGCACTTATTGACTACTCACTGTGGGCAAGGCACTGTGCTAAACATTGTTGGAAATATTAATGATTGAGAGATGTTGTCAGAAAGTAAATTCTCTAGTGTATCACACAAAACCACCTTTAAAACGTTCTGATCAAGGCTTAAAATGATTTCTTGGCATCTATAAACCAAAGCCATTTGTTGGGAAAGCAATGTTATTTTAAATTACTCAAGAAAAAGTTTTTTTTTTCATTTTTTCTTTTTAGAGCTATTTTTCATTTCCTCAAGTTTTATGGGAAAGTAGAAAAAAGTAAAATGTTGAACCTAAAGACCCTGAATTTTAGGGAACAAAGAATTGTATCCTGAAGTCCTTGCCTTTCCAAACAGAATTCTAGAAAACTAAGAGAAGAAAAACAAGGCAACAACCCCACCACCAACTCATAGCTCTACCAAAGAAAGGCATAAGACCTTACTGGTTGTGAATCATTTTTTTTTTTTTAGTAGCTGTACACATTAAGCACCCATGCACTTATTAAATAATTCCATGTTCTAAAATGTGGGCTCTGTACATAAATAACATCTCTTTTTGTACCTGTAAGGTGTTATAATCTCTTGTAAAGGGGACCATCAGCTCCCAAAGTGATGAAAAAACCACGAGCGCTGTAAATTCAAGCTTGTAATTTGTGGCCATGTGCTCAAACAGCATTGTTAAACCGTGGGCTGCTAAGTGCTTACGCTGGTATTCCTCGGACCCCTCGACAGATACAGGTCGGGTCATGGAAAGGGATACGTCCATTACCACCACCGTTGGCATGATGGAAAGGATCCCAGTATTTCCAGTCAGAATGCAGACAGAGAGCTACAAACAGAGAAATGCCATGGAAAATAAAAAGGTCTTACATGTCATAAGAAGGAAAAATATTTTCACCACAATTTTATCCAATTTCCCAGAAATAAGTGGAGGTCTGCCCTAGTGAAGCTGAGGTGAGGGTACCCAACAAAGAATTCAGTGAGAGGGACACAAGCAGGTTAGTTAGCTGTGAGGACCACTCCTAAAATCATCTGCTAAATGGACCACCGTAAGTATTTCTATTGATTAAAAAAAAAAAGCATTAAATTCAGGTAGCCCTTGATTCCCATAACTTTAAAATTTATACAACTTAATATAATAAGCACTAGTATACCATCTTGCCAAAATTTAATTTACTGAGAACATTTCTATGTGACATATGGTAGTACTATTTGGCATTTGACCATTCTTTTACCACCATCGGTATCTTAATACAGTAGTGTTAACACAAGCATTTACTCTCTTTGTGGCTTGGTGCCCTTGTTTGATTAATATAAATGTAAAATATAAAAAAGAAGGACTAGAAAAGTGATAATCCAAATTAGACAATGCTGGAAATCATTAAGCATGACAAAAACAACAAACTGTGATTCTCAATAGCATCAACAGTTTTTTAACTGTGAAGGAAAAGAAAATTAAAGCATATGCATGAAAGCTGGAATTATGTAATTGTGTAGAAAAGTAAAAATGTAGAAATGGAGGAAGCAAAGGTATTCATGGATTAAGAATTAGCAAGAAAATTGGGTTGGGGTTGTGTCTCAGTGGTAGAGTGCTTGCCTGGCAAGCATGAGTCACTGGGTTTGATCCTCAACACCACATAAAAATAAACAAATAGAATAAAGGCATGCTGTCCATCTACAACTACAAAAAAAAAAAAAAAGAAAGAAAGAAAGAAAGAAAGAAAAGAGTGGGCTGGGGTTGTGGCTCAGAGGTAGAGCACTTGCCTAGCATGAGTGAGGCACTGGGTTTGATCCTCAGCACCACATAAAAATAAAAATAAAGATAGTGTGTCCACCTATAACTAAAAAATACATTAAAAAAAGAATTAGCAAGAAGAAAATATTTCTGTGCTTAAAATAAAACAGATCACAGATACATAGACCTGTTCATGAGCTACAGCTTGCTGCTACTGTACAGTTAAACAAACTATAGTCTCTTGATACAATGAAATATAGATATAAATAAATGACACAGATATAAGAAATATTTATATAATGAATTAATAGCTAAGAAAAGCCAATCATAGGATATGTTTTCATTGCTACAACTTAATAAAAATCACGCTGCATATACCATACACAACTATGGACGACTAAGTCAATATAAACAGTTTAGAAACTTAATGTTCATTAATTTATGTTTTGGGATTCACTTCCAAACATTTAACAATGGCCAGACTGTTTGTTAGTGCAGTGTCTCTGAATATATTGATTTATGGAAACAATGTTATTATAAATAGAGGTTAGGGACTGAGGTCAAATTGGAAGTCTATTAACCATATAACATTAACTATATAACAGTTAGATATATCTTCAAATACAGTAATGTCTGTGTATCTAATTAACATCAATAAGTTAAATCAGAGATAAAAATTACTTTTTCAGACTCCCTTAGAAGTCCAAAATGTTTATCCATTTTGTTAGAAAAAAATTAAAATGTGTATCTTTCTTCTCTGCATCATTAGACTTTGTGGGTAAACATAATTCAGCCTGTTAGGTATCACCACTTTGAATACCAATACTACCCAGCACACTACTACCCTGATGTTTCTATTTATATCAGCATTTTCTCAAATGTGTGCTGCAGAACACTGTCCTGGAGGGATGCTCCAAGAAAAATGGAGATTTTGACAAGTTCTAAATCAAAATTTAGATTTAATTCACTAATCCTGTTTCCATTTCAACCCTTCTCTGCATAAATAGTACAAGTATTAAATAGAATGTACATGGAAGTACTGCCTTATTCTGAAAGAATCCAGGCTGCTGTGTTCTGTTTTGGTGGCTTCAAATTTTGCTTCTAATTTTGAGATCATCAGCTTTCATTCCACTTATCTCAGTAATTCTGTGTGATGATTCTCCCTTTTTCTAATCTTTTTCATCTTGGTTGCTATGGCTGGAAATACAGTTTATCAAGCTTGTTAAAAGTGAGTCCAATATCAAAGATATCAGGCTATAAGAGTCTGTAGGTTTCTTTTATTATAAAACAGATAAGCTTAGGTATATCAACTTGTACTATTTTGTCTATGCAGTCTTTTTTATTTTCTTTCTGGGTCTTGGTTGTGTTGTTCAAGAAATGAGGTCCCATGTCATATATATATATATATATATTTAATATTTTTGTTGTAGACAGACACAATACTTTTATTTATTTATTTTTATGTGTTGCTGAGGATCGAACTCAGTGCCTCACATGTGCTAGGTAAGGGTTCTACTACTGAGCTACAACCCCAGCTCCCCCATACCATAGGTTCAAATATACTACATCAGATCATAAACCCACTAAAGGCAGGGACCATGTCTGATTTTGCCCACCAATGTCTCCTTAGAACTCATCCCAATAATTGGTCCATTGAAGGTGCTCAACAAATATTTGATAATGACTAATGAACTACCCCTAGTCATCAGATATAAAATTAATTCTTCAGCAAAACATATTATAAGTTTTAATTCTGAATACCAGAAACACTTTCCTTCTCTCTTTCTCCTTCAAATAGAGATAAGAGGGATTCCTACACCTCTGCCCAGGTACAGAGTTTACCCAGATCCTGTAGTTCCATTCATTCATAGAGGCTTTCATGTTATTTAAAAGTTGGAGATCATGGCAGGCACAGTGTCACACACCTCTATTCCTAGTGATTTGGGAGGCTGAGGCAGAAAGATTTCAAATTTGAGGCCAGCCTCAGAAACTTAGCAAGACCCTAACTGAAAAAATAAAAAAGGCTTCGGGACATGGCCCAGTGGTAAGATGCCACTGGGTTCAATCCCCAGTACCAAAAAAGGAGAGGGAGGGAGGGAGGAAGGAAGGAAGGAAGGAAAAGAGGTTAGAAGTCATCCCCAAGTATCCTCATCTCTAAGGAGAATGGGCAACAATTTACGTAGATCAGGTATGAAAATGCACTTCCAGACCATGAAATGAGTGACCACAGCTGTTAATCTTGCCTGTGAAGCTGGTTCTTTCTTCTGATTTGTTTGTGTCCACTCCCAAACGCAACTCCTCAACAGCGGCAAAGCTGTGGGAAACCCACAACTTAGTCTGGTTGTAAGCACAACGGTAAGAGAGGGAACTGAGCGCTCCTGAAGGATGGTTCATTCAAGCCGACTGGGCCTCACTAAAAATAAAATAAAAATCTCTGCCCACCTGTCTAGCGATTTTGTAATAACAGGAACCCTCACTCGGGATGACTGTGACCCTCCGATTACCCGCTACCTCGGCCTAACCTCTGCCATATGTACTGTTTACACACAGCGCTTCTGACATCAAGGATTGTCCTTTCTCCAAAAGCCATGAGAATACGTCTTAGTCACCCGACTCCACTTTGCTCCATGTTTAGGACTCTCCCCTGAAGGTGATCATTTGATCATTTTTAAAAAAAAGTTGGTTCTCAGAAATGTGGCTCTCAAAGCGTGATTCTATTTGAATTTCTGAGTCCCCACTACTCTTGGGCTTTCCTTTCGGTCCACCCTAATAAGTCGCTCGGAGTTCTCGGGTACAACTTCATCTCGAAACGCCCAGCACGGAACACAGACTTCCGACCTTTGGACCGCAATCGGAGGATGCATTTTACCTTTAAAATCAGTCAAAACCATGTGAGGTCTGGACGTGTCTCAAGGGAGGAGGGGTCAGAGGGCGAAATCGTGAGGTTCACGCGGAGTTGGACACACCGGGATACAGGGCGAGGGGAGGCCGGGAGCAGGGCCCCGGAACTAGCGCCTCAGAGAAGGTGCGGGCCGGCTCCCGGGGCGGCAAGAAGGCCGGGCGCTGGCCCTGCGTTCTTCTTCACCCCTCGCCCTTCACCCGTCTCCCCAGTAAGCAGCGAAAGAGAACCCGCGGCCCACAGCCTCCCCCACTCACCCCTAGCCCATCGCCAGCCACGGTCCTTCCACTTAAACTTTCCGCCCGCGCGCCACAGCCGGAACTATAGGGCCGCGCGACCAAAGGGAACCTGGCGTCCGCACTGCGCGCGGCTTGGGCGGATCCTCAAGAACTGGCGCGGCAGGGTAATAGCTCGCCAGGGACGCTAGGGGGCGCGTCCTTCTCGACGCCACTCTCCTTACAAGCCCCCACCTTCGCTGAGCGCTGGCTGGGTCTGTCCGCCTGGCCCCCTCTCTTCCTCACCCTATTCTCCAGCGCTCCCCGCCAATATTTAATCTGGCCCCGTTCCTCACTCACCCGTAGGCATCACCTGGCCAGTGACCCCTTCACATTTCTGTCCTGTTACCTGCTAGTTGCCTCTTCATACTCCTCCCGCACATCCTCTGAACTAGGTGACAGAAACTTTTAAAAATATAATTCCTGGCTGAGGAATGCTCCTACTTAGCACTCTATATTTTTCTTAATTTACCTGAGCCTAATTTACATCAAATCTTGATGTCTTGGTCTCAGCCCAAATATTCACATTATCTCCCTTCCAGCTTCCAGTCTTGGAGGGAAGGAAAGGGACGGTTCAGTCAGTTCCCCTTACCCCGGGGCGCAGTGGTGCACGCCTGTAATCTCAGTGACTCGGGAGACTGAGGCGGGAGGATTGCAAGTTCGAGGCCAGCCTCTGCAACTTCACAAAAACCTGTCTCAAAAGAAAAAAATAAAAAAGATTGCCCCCCCCTCCATTCTCCACTGTAGCCTGTGCCATCACATCAGGAGGCAAGAGGTGACATATTAACCATGTAGGGAGCCAGGGAATGCCAGCTAGAGGTAGTCTTGAATGCATGTCAGCAGGCCATGTTGTATTACTTAGGTTACAAGTGGAAACAGACAGTCCTCTAGAAGGTCTAGGACATTTTCCTCTTTATCTTTTAGCTAGGATGGGGTGAAATGGGACGCGGAACAAGGAAGGAAATGCTTTGAACTGAACAACCAAGTCTGTTTGACTTTTCACAACTTGTTCTGTGGGAGAGTGTGGGTCCAATAGCATTTAGTTCTCTCCTGTCTCCTATTTATAACAGAAGTGGCAGATAAGGCAGTTTATCTCTGGGAAGACTGGGAATACCTTCACCAACCTCAAGGCCCTGGGCCTGCAGACTGCCCTATTTGCTTCAAAGCTTTTTTCCTCAACCTGACTGGTCTCATGCTCTCAAGATCTTGTTATGCTTGAGCAGGCAGTGGGTTCTAGGTAAGTAAGGCTGCAGCCGGATTACTTAATCATAATTTTTAATCTTCTCCAATTCAGAGGGATATGTGGTGACAACTCAGCCATTGTTCCTGTAGTTCCAGCTCACATCCATGGTCTGATTCATTTCCTTACCCAGTTCTAAAGCTTAAGTTTATTTAGTTTGCTGATGGGTGAAACTGGTTCTTCTGAATAACAGGCTTTCAGAAAATATGGAAGGCAAAAGATCAATTTATTGATGTTGATGATAAAAGATATAACTGTCAAGAGGACCATGTCACTCCTGGCAACCATTAAGTGTCTTGATTTTTTTTCCCCCTTCTTCTTAGAGCGCCATTAAAAATCAAAGGTTGTTCAGAGAATATAAAATCAGAGAACATTGGCACGAAAGGTAATGAATTTCTTTTCCCTACTCAAGAGACCCTCAGTGTTTGCATGTTTCCACAGATACATTAAAGGAAATCAATGAACAGCTTCCTTTGCATAATCTCCCAGTTCCTTTATTTTTTTCTGTCTTGACGCAGTGGACTGCTCTTGCAAAGGCTCTGAAAGACAGAATGGTTTGGTCATAGTCTGGCAAAATAAAGATTAGTGTCAGAAACACCAAGCCACTTGCAGGGTCTAGGTACTGGGGCTCACAAGGAGGTCCAGATAGCCGCTTCTCCTAAGGCACAGGTTGAAAATGCACATTCTGAGGCCCTGCTGACTGAATTGGAGTTTCATGGTTTGATGTCGGAAAATCTTAGTTGCTATGTTCCCCAAATGATTTTTCATCTACAGAGGTGAAGGGTAAGTAGTAAGTGGGGAAAAGAGAAAGGAGCAGCAGTGGGACCGCTTCTCTCTCCTATTCTTCTCTCCCCTCTCACAGTCCCTGTGCTGTCCTTTGTCTTTCATCTTCCGTCTTACCCTCTCTAGTCTGGACTCTGTCCTCTCCTAAATCATAGTCCAGGCTCTAGGCCAGCCTTTCCTTGCTGTCAGTCCCTCCTCCCTGTCCTACTGTTTTCACTGAAGTAGAAGTTCAAATAAATCATAAATATGACCCTTCTCTTGTCTAAATTTTTTTTATTATAGAAAATTTCAAACACATAAAAGATGAGGAAATAGTATAATAAATCCTCACGTACCCTTAGCCGGATTCTCTCAGTTCAATCTTCAATCTTGTTTTATTTATACATCTGTCTACTTTTCTCCAACATATTATTTTGAAGCAGATCCCAGATAACATAACATTTTGTCCTAAAATATTTCAGTATGTATCTCTAAGAGAAGAACTTTTTTTTTATTTTTTATTTTGGGGGGTACCAGGGATTGAACTCAGGTACATTTGGCCACTAAGCCACATTCCCAGCCCTATTTTGTATTTTTATTTAGAGATAAGGTCTCACTGAGTTGCGCCTTGCTTTTGCTGAGGCTGGCTTTGAACTCACAATCCTCTTGTCTCAGTGTCTGAGCCGCTGGGTTTATAGGCGTGCACCACCATGCCCAGCTCTAAGAGAAGAACTTTTAAAAAAGCATAATTATAATATCATTATCAGTTTTAAAATAGTTAACAGAAGACCCCTAGTATCATCAAGATTTTAGTCAGCTTTCAAATATCTAATTGTCTCATAAACATCGTTATTTTTACTATTTTACATTCTGGTTATTTGAATCAGGATCCAAGTAAGATCCAAACATTGATATCTGTTAATGTATCTCCAAACTCTTTTAATCTATAGGTTTTCCCTTCCATGTCACTTTTCCCTTGCAATGTGTTTGATGAAGACACTGTGGCCCTTTTCTTTTAATTGCTCTCAATCCTCTTTAGGTCTTTTCCAGAGCATTTGAGAAAATGACAAAGCTTCTCTCTATTCTAAAATAATGGAAAGACTCACTGAACAAGAAAAGCTTTTATATGTTTCCAATTCTGATTAGCTTTGCCTTTGCTCAAGTAAACAGGAATGAGCTTTATCTGCCACTGGTTCCCCAGCACATATGATGCCAGATATGCAATTGTGGAAAGAGCGTAGACAGAAAAGAAGAAGGGTTATTGGAAAAGAGCCAAAAGAGAAAGCAGAGAAAATTTGGTAGATGCTACATTTCTCTAAGAAAGTAGAACTGAACTTCAGAACTTCAGAACACCCGTTCCTTTGAAAAATATTAGGAAGTCTAAATTTATAAAGGCCCCTCATGATCTGGGTCCCTTGCCCATGCTTACCATTCACTTTCTTAAAATCTTAGTAGCATCTTTAAATTAAAAAAAAAAACAGATAAAGCAAAAAATTTTTTTAAAAAACTATATTTTTTATTAGAAAAGTAATTTGTATCTATGGGGAAAAAATTAAAGTTTCAAAATAAATAAATTAAAAAATAAGCATTTCCTTTCCTAGAAGTAACCATATGTATATTTCTCTGCCTCTAGTTTCTGCTGGCTTGAAGAGATGAAGCACCAAGGAGTTGCTTATTTGTGGGTTTTTTATTGTTGTTGTTGTTGTTCATTCTATATCTATTGGTGACAGAATTACATTCATTCTTCACAATTTTTGCAAAATTATCTCTATGCACATATGTGTATATTAACTATACAACATAATATATGTTTAATAAGTGCAATGATGTTATATATTATGTTCTGTACTGTGCTTTTATTACTATTGGGCATAAGCTTCTTTCCTTTTTTTGGCAGGACTGGGGATTGAACCTAGGGGTGCTCCACCACTGGGCCACATCCCCAACCCTTTTTATTTGTTATTTTGAGACAGGTCTCACTAAAATGCTCAGACTGGCCTCAAACTTGCAATCCTCCTTCCTCAGCTTCTCAAGTAGCTGGGATTACAGGTATGCACCACCATACCTGCCCAGCTTCATTTCTTTTAACTGCTGTGTATAATTGATTGTTGGAAAGATGTGCCATCATTTACGAACCAGTTTTCTATTGACATTTAGACAGATTTCAGTTTTTTCTATCACAAGCAGTTCTGAAATAGGCCTTGTAGGCCATTATGGGGTTTTTATTTTACCAGAGGTGGAAAGCCACTAGAAAGTTTGGAGTGCAGGAGGGGCGTAATTAGAGTTTAATAAGGTCACTTAGGTTGCCATATTCAATTTATACTCCCTAACCACTATCTTCATCAGCACTACTGTTATTTAGTCTTTGTTATTTAGTTATTTAGTCTTTGTCAACTTACAGGATACTAAAACTTATCTGTGACTTAGTCAGCATTCCTTTATAAAATCAGATTTGTCATGGTAAGTTTCACATAATGGGCTGTTTCTCACTTACTTGGAAGGAGGTTATGAATCATACTGGTACTGCTTGGATTCATGTTCAGCCACACTGAAATCCTCTAATCTACCTGTCTGATATTTTGTCAGATGGGTACCTGACCATGAGTACAAAACCCTGCCTTGAACTACCCTCAACCTGAAAAGTCACCATTTGCATCTCCCTGCCTCAGGTCTGGTTCCAGTTACTGACTTGGAAAGATGAAACAATGTGGGCCCTTTGGGGGCTTATTTTTTTCATTTCTGTCAGTGACAACTAGACAGTCAGTTTTACTCCTATAAACAATACAATATAAAAATACAGTCAAAAGGTTTGAGGCTATGGCATTGTACAGTGTCTGGCAGATTAGGGTGCTTTTCCACAGGTTCTCTTGCTGTAACTCTGATGGCAGTCCTAGGAGGATTCTTGCTTTCCTGGTTTTATATATGAGGAACCCGAGGATGAGAGGCTTTGGGAGACTTGCTCCTGTGCTTATTCGTTTACTAGAGGTTGCAGAGGAGGTACCTGTGGGTTAAATTCAGCCTGCAGACCATTTTGTTTGTCCCTTATTATGTTTAAATAGCTTGACATTGGAATCCTTCTTGGTGGACCACCCATACAGCCCCAGTACTCTCATCCGATTCTGAGTAGAGCAGACTTTTATCCACCCAGGCCCTGAAGGCATTTAAATTTGCAATCTCTGCCAAATCTTCTCCACTTTTTACTGTGCAGCTGTAGAGTTGATAATCAACTCCAGAAGCAGGCCCAGAATAAACCAGCCTCACCCAGAAGCCCTCCTCATCAGTTGAAAAGTCTCATTCCCTCTTCATTCTCTTCTAGCAGAAGGTAGGAAAGGCCTCAAGATTTGGAAGGCTTGCTGTCCTGCCAAGCCTCTAAGCTCTGCCTTCCTCAGCCCTTGATCCTATTGTGAGGATTAGAGCTGTTATGCTTCACCTGCCCTGCCATCCAGTTACAGGGGAGAGTGAAAATATGCCTATTTTGTAGAAAAAAATCAGATCAACTTCCCAAACACTGCAGTGTTTCTGGCCTTTTTAGGCCATTTGCTTGCTGAGAGGCCATAAGTCTTTGAGTAGGCCTTCCTCACTCTACCCAGGCTCGGCCTGGTTGCCCCATCTCAGCATCTTCCTTATTGGAATACACTTTTTCAGTCTGAAAACAAATATACTTATTTATTGAATATCCTTATCAAGTGCCAGTCATTATTCTGGGCTCTGGATTCAGGAATAAATAAGCCGCACAAGGTCCTGTCTTCTCTGAGCTCACTTGCTAGTGAGAGAAACACGCATTGATCAGATTATCAAGCTAATAAATACTCAGTAGAGTGTTGAAGCAATGGAAGATATGGAGAACTGCCACCCTAACACTCCTCTATAATCTTTAGCAGTAAGTGGGGACTGTGATGTCTAAAAGTAGATAATAACAATAACAATAGTAACAGTACCAGCCACATTAATATATTTTACATAGTAATTAATCCTCACAACAATCCTATCAGGCAGGTAATGTCATTACCATTCTCATTGTACAGGATGAGAGATCTACTTATACTCATGAGAAGTTAAGTAATTTATCTAAACTCATATGGCTGGTGCATATAATGTTCTTCCTACTCTTGGTTGAATAGCAAACTTTTCTATAGCCTGTTGAATTTCAAAATGTTCCACCATCTCATGAGAATAAAACAGATGGAACTAGGTTCACCTCCACCAAGTAAGATTTAGGTTAGACACAGGAAGAAGTCACTGACAACATTTATGAGCATAAGAGAAAGAAATCTCTTTTCTGGAAATTTGCTTCTCTCCTGAATTTTCTGTGTTACATAAGTAACATAAAAATAGAGCAATTTTAAAAAAACATTCATAATTCTACATCATGAATTGTATTCCTTCCCTGTATTTCAGGGGCAGATTGAGAGTGTTAGTCAGTTGGTCTGAGAAGGGAAGGAACTAGATCTGGTTCTGCCCACAGTAACACAAAGGCAAGGGTGTGTAACTAGCAGAGTCCTGTCTCCAGGCTCCGGCATCCAGAGTGAGCCCAGGACACGGAGGTGAAGCACTACTGTGGGCTTCAGCAGAGGGAGTGAGTAGGTTACCTTCTTATATTCCAGGCCACTCAGGGTAGCATGAGGCAGAGGTGAAGCTGAGAAGAACTGCCTGCTGTTTCACATTAAAGTAACCTAAAGCAGCATGCCATCTGTGTACCCTGGAGGAAACAGAGAAGGGAGGAGGGGAAAGCTGGTAAATATTAAGCAAAGTCAGCAGTATGATTGCAGTGGTTCCCCACACACACACACACAGCTGCCTTATACCATTCCCACTCCAAGTCATGGGCTGCAGGTGCAAGAGGCTCAGGGAGTCAAATCTTTGGATACCTTGAGGTGATGTCCTTCCCAACCTGCTCCCCCAAGAGTTTTTTTCAGGCCTAATTAAATGTATTTCATGTGTGAAATGCTTTAAAATTTGCAGAGTACTTTCTTTACTATCCCTCAACTTTAATTTTGATTCTCATGCCCACCCTACAGATAGGAAAAGTTATTATTATTATCCCATGCTTACATTCTGATTATATCAGTAGCAAGTGGAGCCTAGTGCTAACGGGTCTTCTGATTTCTTAAGCCCCATGCACTTTCTCTTAGTTTCTTCGGAGCACCTCCTGCATCTTCCTAAATCATTTCACTGCTGAGGCCTGGAAACCCTGGATGACCTCTCATTCCCATAGCTTAGAAACAAGTTTGAGAAGTTCCCCCAGTTACTCTGGGCGGCCCACAGAAAGAAGTCCACCTGTGTTCCTGCTTTCCAGCCTTTCCAGGCCACCCGCTCAGGCTTGGTCAGAGTCACTGGGACCCAGAACTTGTAAAATGCCCTCATAAGCTTCTTAGAGGAGGCAGGTATTAGCATGATTGGATATTCTTCCTCTGACATGCCCTTCACACTCAACCGACCCTGCCTTCAATTAGGATTCCATAGAGGAGCTGGAGGCAGGAGAATGGGGTGTTTCCTGCTGTCTAGCTGCAGACCCATTCTTTGAGACCCTGGATTCTAACAAGTTTCCAGAACTAAGAAGACATCCAGATGTCAAGGTTTAAAGGTAGGTGGGATCAGTGAGAGTGCCAGCTCAGCTCTGTTACACAGGCACATTGCGAAAAGAGGGACCCTCAGAAGTTTCTCTGGGAGACAGTGGGCTCGCTACAAGTACTGAGTTCAAGCAAGGGACAGGGTGGCTGGAGAGAGATAATGGGATGAAACTTATAGCAATCAAGGACAAATAAGAAAGTTCACTTATTCCTACTTCTTTTGCTTTTTAAGACAGTTGCATTTGTACCTCTAATTAGCAGGGTGTACTAGAAAGATTGGGGATTTAAGAGTCTCATCTGCCTGGCTACCTGCAGGCTGTGTGATATTCAACAAATCACATCTCCTCTCTGGACTTCAATGTCTTCATGTCTCACATGGAGAATTATATTAAACAGATTCTATGGGTCTGTCTGATCTAACTGACAGCTCGCTCCTAATACCTTATTACCACATGGAAAACCAGTCATTTATAGTTAGTTTTGTAGCAACTATGGACATTGATTAAAAATTTAATAACTTTTACTTTGACTGGGCCTCAATGCCCTTTATAAAATGAGTATTCTTTGAAATCTTTTGTGTTCTTCCTTCCTGCATTCTTGTTTAAAACTAACCTTATGTAGCATTTGATTCTATCCAATGCTTTTCACAGACCTTATGTGTAATCAGTCTTTCAGAATTCTTGTGACATAAATACCATTGCCATTCACATACCATCATTATTACATTTAAATTTAAATGTAAAATAATTGTGTTATATAAAATATTATATTATATAAAAATATAATACTATGTGCATGACAAAAAGTTCAAACTAATAGGGTTCAGAATGAAAAGTAAGTTTTCCTCTGATCCTCAGTTTTCCTTCCCCAAATGTCCTTCCAGAGGTTAATATAGGTTAGCATACCCATTCAAAGATGAGGCACTGTTCCGCCTGTTCAGGATGACACAGCTAGTAAGCAGCAGAGCTGAGAATCCAGCCTTTGCTCCAATTTCCATGTTCCTTCCTCTACAACACTTTGCTTGGGAAGCTCCATGACATTAACTTTTAAGCTTTGTCCTCTCTGGAACATACAGTGGAATCATTTTAAGAGAGTCCAACAAAGCAAAACAAAACAAAACACATAAAGTGTTAATATCCCTAACAGTGTCCTCTACTGCTGACCATTCCTGTCAACAGTTTAAAATCATGTCTCCTCACTGCCTTCCTGCCTTTTATAAGGTGAAATCTGTTGGCCCGGACACCTTCTGTGTGACTGAGCTCCCGGCAACTTGAGTTTGAACCTGAGGAGTGCTGGCAGATTTTTTTGTAGGAGCACAGGGAGGAGCCAGGGAAGATTGAGGGAGGAGCATGCACCCACCTGAGGGGCCTCAGCTGCCAGCATGCCTACACAGCAAGAGGACCCCTTCTACTCTTTCTCCTAAAAGCAGGCATTGTCTCCTGGAGTAAGGGGCATAGCTAGTTTACTCCAATAGAAATAAATGCCCCCAACCACAAAGTCCCCTGTATAATACTTCTGTGTCCCTGGGGTTCCCGTCACCACTCTTTTCCAGTTGAGGGAGTTTTGGATCCCAGATCTGCTGTTAGGAGCAAATAACTTCTTTTCCCTCCTCAGGTTTGTGGATACCCCAAGACTGGACTTCATGGAGAAATCTTCCCTGATTACCAACCTGAACCTTGGAGCAGCTGCAGTCTCTCCATGGACAGAATGAGAGGCTCTCTGTAACAGACATAACTGGCCATCATGGGGAAACTGATCAAGATGGGGGTGCAGGAGAAGCGGTTACTCTGGCCAAGGCAGCTTCATTGGAGTCGCCTCCTGTTCCTATTGGGAATGTTGATCATCGGTTCTACCTACCAATACCTGAGGAGACCTTGGGGCCTCCCCTCACTGTGGGCAGAAGTCTCTTCCCAACAGCCTATAAAACTGGCCAGCCGTAACCTCCCCAATGATGTGATGACGATAGTGAGCACTGACCCTCCCAAAGCTAGCTCTGAAATGGAGGCTGAGATGGTGGCACCCCAAGCCACCTTGGACAGGAATCAAGTAACACTTAGAATGACAATGGAGAACACGCCCAGAACACCCAGAAGAATTGCCAAGATCACTCCACCAACACCAAAGAATAATCACAGCCCAATAGCAGCAAGTACAGAAAGAATGAAGGAAAATACCCCAACCACACCAAGTAGAGTACTGAATCACTACAGCCCAATTTCAAGCAGACAAACAGTAAAACATTATAGCCCATCATCCAGGGGAGAAATGAAGAGCTACAACCGAATTCAAGCCAGAGGTAAGGTGAAGAAGACCCCAACCCCTCCTGGGGAAACTATAGACACTAATGCACCATCCACATTCATGACAAGGGAAACACGTCATGCGATCACCCCCAGGACAAGAGTGAAAGACAATGAAACCATGGCAACCTATGAAATATTGGAGACCAGCTCTCCCAAGAGGATACTGGAAGAAACCTCCTCAGCTACCCTTAAGAGAATAATTAAAAACACCCCACCTTTCCCGACCGAGATAGAAACAAACATCTTGACATCTCCAAGGAGAATAGCAGAAAAGAACACCATGACTAACTCCAAAAGAGTGGGAAATAACAGCTCATCCAATCCCTGGAGGTTAGTGGGGAAGAACAACCAGACAACTCTTCAGGGAGCAGACCTGGAGCACACTTCAGCTGTGTCTGAGAGGCAAGTGACAAGAAGTACCGCGATGGGTGGCAGCCCAGCAAAAAACGAAGCCTCTATTGCTATCCGGAGTGTTAGGAATCCCTTGCCCAGAACCAGTGCATCCTCCATCAGGACAGCCTCAGCCACCATCCAGGAGCTGGCAAAGAAACCTTCCACAGCACCCAGGACCTCTGTAACCCCCCAAGTCAGGGCAAATCCCACTATCCAGATCCGTCACTGTGTGGTTGTAGAACCAGCCCCAGCCACGCCCACCAGCCCATCTCCAAGCCTGACAACCTCCCTCTTCCCAGAGGTGCCCGGTCCCAGCCCCACAGCAATGCTTCCCAGTTGGCCAGACCATCCCCAGGGAGAGTACCCCCGGGACCTGTTCAGCGTGGAGGAACGGCAGCAGGGCTGGGTGATCCTGCATATCTTTGGCATGTTGTACCTGTTTGTGGCCTTGGCCATCGTGTGTGATGAGTTTTTTGTCCCAGCCCTGAGTATCATCACAGAGAAGCTGCAGATCTCTGAGGATGTGGCAGGTGCTACTTTCATGGCTGCTGGAGGCTCTGCCCCTGAGCTCTTCACCTCCCTCATTGGCGTCTTCATATCCCACAGCAATGTGGGTATTGGTACCATTGTGGGCTCTGCTGTGTTCAACATCCTCTTTGTCATTGGCACCTGCTCCCTCTTCTCCCGGGAGGTCCTCCACCTCACCTGGTGGCCATTGTTCCGGGATATCTCCTTTTACATCCTCGACTTGTCACTGCTCATCCTCTTCTTCCTGGACAGCCTCATCGCCTGGTGGGAGAGTCTGCTGCTGCTGCTAGCCTATGCCCTCTACGTGTTCACTATGAAGTGGAACAAACACATAGAGGTCTTTGTGAAAGAGCAGCTCAGAAAAAGACCAGTGGCCAAGGTCATGACTCTAGGGAATTGCAGCAAGGTAAGGAAGTCTGGTTGGGCATCTCTTACTGATTTGGAGGGGAAGAGGAGGGGGAAGCCAGAGACTGAAGAGTGGAAGGAGCTGGGTCGGACCTGAAGTCATGGGCGATTCTGGTTCCCTTGTTGTTTATTCAACATTTACAGAGTAATTATGATGCATCAGGCAATATGCTGGGGCCTTTGCAAATATGACCTTGACTCAATTCCTAATCATTCTATAAAGTTTTTATTATTATGAACCTCGTTAGCAGGAGATGAAATTGAGGCCTAAAGAAGTTAAATTGTTTGTTCAAGATCACACAGTAAACAAGCATTTGAATCTGACTAGGTCTTTGGAAATGACATTTGAGTTGGGCTTTGGAGAATGTTCAAGGAGATACCAGCAAGGAACATGCTAATCTCTTCCATGTGCCTGGTGTTCAGGGTTTATGTAGCACCCTCACTTTCACTAAATCCTGTTAATTAACATTCTAGACTGTGGGGGTTGGGTGGAAGGATTGGAGAGGGGAGGGGTTCTTGTTTGTTTTGTTTTGTTCAATCTGGAAGAGAATGGAGCCCCACTCATCCATTGACAAGCCAACTCTGGGGGTAGAGCTTTGTCTGTGTGTCTCATGAAGACCAGACAACCAGTAACACCAATCCTGGATCTTCCTGGCCCAGAAGTTCCTTTCAAAGAACTTCTTTGTTCCTTTGAGGGTTTTTTCCTGCTAAATTCATTGAATGATTCAATAATCTGGATGATTAGATTAAATTGGAGAAGGGACCTCTGAAAACTTATCCCAAAGCTTTTTGTTCTTTGACATATTAAAGTAAGAGTACCCCAGATAACAGAGACCCCACTTCTTTCCTGCTCCTTGCGTGCAAATAATACAAGGATTTAGCTACTTAATTCAGAACAGTTTCAATGAGTAGACAGGATGGAGACCAAACTCAGAAACAAGTCTGGGAGGTACCCTAGGCAAGGGAGATTAAAATTTAGAATTTTTGAAAAAACGTGTTCTGGTGAGAGACTGAACCGAGAGCCAGAACACCTGGCTCTAATTTGATCTTACCTCTAGTTAACTATGTGACCTTGGACAGGTCTCATTCCCTCTCTAAGGGAAATGATAAAGTCCAACTGATCACTAAAAGTTTCTGTTCACCTCTAATATTCCACTATAATTTCTGTGTTCAAGTGGGTTAAGTTCTGGCAGGACTCAGCACAAGCATTGTCTGATCTGATCAGCTGAGTTCCTTTTGCCTTATTTGTGGATGGTCTAGAAAGAAGAAATGTCAGAATTGGAATCAGAATTCAGCCTCCTAACACTCCACTCAGCACTATTTTTGAAGAGATGAGTGCTCCAGGAAGCCATAGATTAAAAAAAAAAAAAAAAGCCTGTTAGGTCATTTAAAATGAAGAAGCAGAAGCCTCCCTCCTAATGAAGTTCCCAGGGCAGGCCTTGCTGAGGACGGGTCATGAAGCCATGGTCTCTCCTCTCAGAGAAGCCTTGGTGTATATCACACAGCAGTGCTCCAAATACCTCTGGCTTGCCTCTTGGGACTTTGAGGTAATTCTGCTTTTATTTAAAGTCTATGAATTCTGAATCTTCTATTTCATCAGAGCTAGACCAGAAAAGCAAAGCTTGCTAAGCAAATGAAACATAATCATGACTCCAAAAGAGAATTTATAACCTACTAGAGAGAGTTCAAGAGCTTTAGCAGCAGCTCTCTGTCAACCAGTAAGCAGCATACTAATTTTGTTCCTATCTATTTGTTGAAACAGATCCAGTGTGATTTTTAATTGACAGCACTGTCTTTTTTAAAAAGCAAGTTGAATTACAGACTATACTTGAAAATAAACCACTCTGTATTTAAAATTAAAAATCCATAAGCAGGAGTTACCATTAAAATTAGTTCAAAATGCCAGGCATAGTGGTGCACACATGTAATCCCAGAGACTGGGAGGTTTAGGCAGGAGGATCACGAGTTCAAAGCCAGCCTCAGCAA